AGAGACATGGATAGGATGTGACATGCTTGAGCAATGAAAACTGTAAGGCAATAAAAGCAAGAATAACCTAGAGTTACAGAAATAAGGTAATGTGATTACATAGACTTGTTACACATAAATTGTCATGTGTTCCTTATATGCATTCCTCTGCACACCCATGCATACATGCGTATAATTTTGGATTCTGTTTATTGATCTATACCAATATTTCAATGGTTGAGAAATAGAAAGTGAATTCAGAAATATTTAATTAGTCCTATATGGCCCTTGCACAGAAGAAGAGGGCTAAAGAGGAGGCCTACAAGGAGAACTGGTGGATCATTCCATGACTGATTTGTGTCATGCTTTGTTCATGGAATAAGCCATAGGTTTATGGCTTAATCTGAGTTAGTCTGATATTTCTCTTTTTATAGGAGTATAGGATTTAGTACATAGGATCAGTTGCCTATAAGTTAGGTACTGCGATGCCTAGGTTTTACACATCTGTCCCAAGAGTAGAATCTGGAATCCTAAGGGAGGCATCTGGACCTACTTTACAAAATATGGCTGTTTGGACTAAAAACAGATGTTGGATTTCTTGGGGACAAAGCCTTTTATTTTGGAATCCTACAGATTTACAAGTTCATTATCTTTGCCTAAGTACCTGTGATATACCAGGATGACACTTTTCCCCGGGGACAATAGGACTAATATGAAGTAGGTGCCATTCAAGCGGAATGTGTAAACAACTGTCCTACACCTGTTTTGATGCATGTCAAAGCCTGGGACAGTCATCCCGGGGAAAAATCCAGTACATATTTTTAGCTGGCGAGACTAATTGGTTCAGAGAGATATGACCTTTTTTATACAACTATCAATTTTGTCAAATGCTAGAACAAAAGTTCATGCCCCTCTGAGGATAAAAACAAATGACTGGTTTACCCTGGAAAAAATAATTTTATTGAAGGATGCTAAAGCCTGATTGTTCTATCTTATGTACCTGTCAAAAGCATCATGGGTACCTGTAGATGTGAGGACATCTGCTCTGATGCGCTGTAATTACAGTGTGTTGGAGTAGACTTGATTAATCGAGTCTGCTGGAGAGTGCTAATTAGCTGCTCACATAAAGTGCCCACAGCATCACATGTATTCAGTGTCCCCATGCTTCAAAATGGCAGCGGGAGTGCTTTAACTAAAGCTTATTGAACGAGCTTCAGTTAAAATGCAGCTGCTGCCATTTTGAAGTGTGAGATGCTGAATACATGTGACGCTGTAGGCACTTTAATTAGAGCAGCTCCCAAGAGCTTCTCTAATTAAAGCACCCCCTCTTCCCATTACTTCCAGAGCATATGTAAAGATGCCCCAAATGCTCCATACTGAAAACCAACTATGAAGCTGGTTAAAATGAGCCAACACATGGCTTCCTTTGCACTCCCACAGCTGAGCTGTGCTTTTCTTTCCCATTTCCAATAATTCCTATTTCTTCACCAGCCTTAAATGTCTAGCAGACATCACCACATGGAACCCAAAAAGTTAACCGAGAATCCCTCTGTCACTCTCTCAGCCTGTAGCGTATGATTAGTGTGGCCCTGCCCTGCATGAGGTGGAACCAGACTATGTTGCCATGTACCTCATCTTAATATACATTTGGGAGGATCCTAGGACTCATGACAAGAACACCTGGTTCCAGTCATGAGTGAGGGCTAATTAGCACGATTCCTTTGTGTGTGTGTGTGAGAGGAATATCTGGAGTACACACACATACTGTGTGACACTGTGGTGTCACCATGGCTTGAAATGCTGTTGACTCTGCTGGGGTCCAGCACAATGAACTATATGGTAAATTTTGAGCCTTTTGGCTTTGGATTAATATCATGCACAGTGGGCATGTCTATATGTTCATTACTGTGCTTTTGTTAATGTGCATTAAATTTAGTACCTCGATTGTGTGGCACTAGAAAAAGGCACATTAGCCTATTTTGATGTGCATTAATGAAAATGAATAGTTATTTTGTGATGCTTTACTGCGCATTAAAATAGGCTGATACGCATCAAAGCACACGTGCAGATGCACCCAGTTTGTACAATATATACATAGGTATAAAGTGCTGCTTAAAAGTATGTTTGTGGAGTACCTCTGCTAAAACTTGCATTAGTTTCTCTCTCTCTCTCTCTATATATATATTTAATTAGTTTCTATATGTCTAAATTGATGAGTCATTCAAAATGGGGACAATAAACTCAGATTAAAGTAGCCCTCTGTGTTCCATCCTGCCCTGTCTTCAGC